TCTCATGAGAACCTTGCATAATGCACAAGAACATCGAATAAACTTGATCTCATAAAAAATAAAAATGGTCTTCCTTTTACGATTTCTGTTTCGTCGCTCGTCATTTCTTACGTGCTATTTTGTTTCATGGAATGAGGTTATTCTATCAATCGCTGACATTTCGTACAAACACCATAAACTTGCAAAACATTCCATGAAACCAGTTTCGAATATTGCCTAAATCGAAGGGAAAAAAAGGTTACAAGGAAAGAGCAGAAAATATTATTCCATTCCCACTTGGGCTTTTGTTTTTCTCCTTTTATTCGGGAATTCTTTTTTCCTCGAATTATACAGATTGTCGGGTACACTGCATTGCGCTATTACGCAGCTACTATCGGTGACCAGTTCGCGGTCAAACTCGTATTTTCAAGGAAAAATCTAACTCGCAAGAAGACGAAATGAAAGACAAGCATCCAAAATGTAAATTTATTTATTCCTTGCCTTATAATTCATTTTTAATTAAGTTACGAAACAGTTATTTCATTTGTTAACAATTTCCTTTTGACAATAGTCAATTCACTGCGACAGTTCAGTATTTGTAAATATAAAATTGAATTTTTCTTCAACCGATGTAAATTCGATAATATTCATATCTATTGAATTAAATGTAAATTATTACCAACAGCTTAATTATGCATTATAAGGTAAGGGGTTAAGAATCAACATTTTTTATGCCTGATCATATTCATAACTTTTAACCTCGATTTAGATGTTCCATAACCAGTGGAACAGAAATACAAAATCGTTGCCCTACACCTTTATGCAAAATTATATAAACCAAAAAAAGAATATTTTTTTTTTATAAATAGGGAACTCACCCCGTGCCAAGGTTCACGTTATCCTGCGTTACTATTCGTTCTTGAATGTCCATTCCACTCGCAAATGTACCGTTAATACGTTTTCCATTTGTGACTATTTATCAACACATGATTTTTGCGTGTCAATTAAATTCCATTAATGGCTTTTCGGTCGGCGCTACATTTTTTCATGATTTTTTCTTTTCACGGCTACAACACCAACACAGGCACGTTCTTGACAATTTTCAGTGAATCTGAATTTGTCAATAATTAATAGCTTAGGGTAACGAATACGAAAATTCGAGGCGAATGAATCATAAGAATTAATTGCACCTCAACTTCTCTTGGTTATACAGTGAATGCGAAGTATTTTGAAGTTACTGACACCCGATGCTTCTCAACATTAATAAACGAACGACGAATACAACAGTCGATTGTTTTGATTCATTCACTTTTTTTTTGCGGTGTAATACATGTACGCGTATATCATACCTAAATTAAACGATGAAACTATCAAATACATGCACGCAGACCGGGTTTCATCAAAGTTTGTAATTAATGGAAATCATTTGTAAAGGTTAGGTTCATACAGGCACGTACATAACTTCAGCTGAGCGCCATTTTCATCGATTTTCAAATATTTCTTGCTGGAGATTTAATTTATAAAGAAAACATATTTTTAAAAAATGTATTTCGTTTTAATGAGTAATATTAACGAACTGTAGATATTCAATTTAATTTTTGTAATTACAATAAAATAATAATTGAATTTTAAATTCATTATTACTTAATATGTTAATAAATGCTTTTGTATTTTCATTATAATCAAATATTTAATCCTGTACTTATAACTAGTTTATAAAAATGTAATAAATATCTACAGTCGAATAAATATCATAATTTTTAATTACTTAGAAGTGGAAAGTAAAAAGTGTGCAATCTAATTCAGATAAAAATCTAGGTATAAATTTGATACTACTGTGACCTTCTTCCTTGTAATAAAGACTTTCGTACAACATAATAAAAACAATTATCTGTACGAAAATAAACCTTATCTCACTTCTTTAAACCTTAAATAATAAAATTTAAACACCTATCTTATTCCACCAAATTTTTGGTTCTGCATTTTTATTTGATATTGCGTCGGTAATAATTATCAATATAAATATGTATAAAAAGGTATAAATACATTATACATTGCATGTACATGTAAAGCAGCTTGATATCATAGGTAATACATTATGATAACAGTATGTAGGTGCAGATTGCTACTTCAAGGAAAATCCAATAAATAAATCAATTAAAGTTGCACAAGGCACGCAATTCTGAATGCGTTGCTAGGAAGTAAAAGAGAGATCATTGTGGAAACCTTAGTAAGAAGCAGGGAAAAATTTTATCTCAACATGGAGAAACCTTTTCTTGTGAAGCAGAACGGTCTGCATTGTATATAATGCGAGTTCCCTCCTGGTGGCGTGTGCACTGGCGTTTCGTTGTTTTCCTTGTCCCAGGCATGCCTGGGAGACTCAATACCGAAAGGGCTATAAAGTTTTGTCGGAGTCCTTCCTAAGAGTTGACGAGAACGTGTCTGAGGTGTCTGCATTTTGCAAATGCTATTCGGCGATTGCTGTTCCTCCAATCTTTGACGTCTGCGTGTGGAACTTTTAAATTTCTAATAGAGAAATTAGGACAGGAATAATTAGTGATACAATAATTAGGGTTACATTGCAGTGATACATTGCTTATTCTATAAAATTTCTTTTGTCAGACCTGTGAAATAGTTCCAAAGGTTGTGCGCACAGAAGATATTGTTTTGGATAATTTCTCGGCTCCGCTCCGCAGTGCCCGTCTAGAGTCCGCTGACATATTTCCAAGCGTCAAGTTGTTCCAGCTTCGGTCACTCGTCTGTTTGTCTTTGGACGTCTTCTCTTTGCAGGAATCAGTGGGCTTCTCTTTTTCGAAGCGGTCCTGAAGCCGGCGCCTTAAATTCTTTGAATTTTTAGTGATCTCCGGTGAATTTTTCACACTCAGAACTTCCCGGTGAAACGTAAACGAGACACTCCGTGAATCTGGTCTCATACTTTCGAATTACAAACTTTTTTTATTTTTAAATACGCGAACCGATTGTAATTACTCGGATAACTCGAACGTAACTTAAAATACTATGAATAAATAACGTAAACGTCGAATGAAATTTTCTACATCATTTGGAATACGTTGGAAGAGCGTCGTTGCCAACCGCCACTGTCCGGAAAACAAGCATGGCCGCAGTGTACCCGATTAATTTACCGCACTTACATTTAAATGTCCCGTAAAAATTAATGATAATTCCTCAGCTTATTAATCGCGTTTATAGTTAAATAGAATTTCGAATTTACTGTTTAACAATAATTTTATGTGAATGCCCTTTTTCTGCACTTGATATACTTGATGCTATAATGCAATCATTGTATAAAATAAAAGACAGATACAGGGTGCATTAGATGTTTAATGCTGTAAAGATTTTTATCTAGGTCTCGTGGGATCCTTGTATTATTTTAATATTACATTTAACATATATATACAATTATTTAATGAGATCATTCACTATGCGTGTTTCGCTTTTAATTATGATACATTATTTAAATTTTAATGACTTTGGGACGCAGGTTAGATGAGAAGTAAAATCATTTCAACCCTTTCGTTGCAATTTTCAATGATTTTCGTGTGAATCTGATTCTCCAAATACAAAAATTGTAACGATTTTTAAAAAATGTAAATGCCGCCTCGGCAAGTAGTTTGTAATTTCTAGACGCTAAGGGTTTCAACATTATTTCTCTAGATGGCGTCTGAAAACTGTCAAAGTAAAGAAACAGTGTTAAAGTATAATATTGTTGCTATTATTTAAAAACTTTATTCCATTGTTTATTGTGGGGTTGCTGCTCAATGGGAATTGAAAGGGAAATTCAATTCACGATATTTTGTACAAGAGAAGGATATATACTCAAGAGAAGAAACACTTGGGTGACGCTGAGTAAACCTTGACACACAACAAACAGAATTTTTTTAATAAAAACAGGAAGAAAAGGAAAAATAGCAATATGAATTTGCGTCATTCTGTACAATGAGGCTACGATTAAGCTAAGAACTAAGGCATTTTTTTTATGTTTATACCTCATATATCCTGAATCGTCGTTGGCGTAACCTCAAACATGAGTTACAACAAAAAGGTATCATACTTCTATAATCCAGATGTTGGTAACTTTCATTATGGCCCTGGGCACCCAATGAAACCTCACAGACTCTCAGTAATTCACAGTCTGGTACTTAATTATGGCCTGCACAAGAAAATGCAAATTTATCGTCCCTATCGAGCTAGCACACACGACATGTGCCGTTTTCATTCAGATGAGTATGTAGAATTCCTGCAAAAAGTGACACCACAGAATCTACAAGGATATACAAAGTATTTAAGCCATTTCAATGTGGGTGATGACTGTCCTGTTTTCGAAGGGTTATTCGACTTCTGCTCCATGTACACAGGTGCCTCATTAGAAGGTGCTACCAAGCTGAACAACAATTGCTGTGATATTGCTATTAATTGGAGTGGAGGCTTGCATCACGCAAAAAAATTTGAAGCATCTGGTTTTTGTTATATTAACGACATTGTGATAGCAATTTTAGAGCTATTGAAGTATCATGCCAGAGTTCTTTACATTGACATCGATGTTCACCATGGGGATGGAGTTCAAGAGGCATTTTATCTCACAGACAGAGTGATGACTGTATCATTCCACAAATATGGAAACTACTTTTTCCCTGGAACTGGAGACATGTATGAAATTGGAGCAGAAAGTGGAAGATATTATTCAGTTAATGTACCATTAAAAGAGGGTATAGATGATGCTTCGTACGTCCAAGTATTCAAGCCTGTGATATCTCATGTAATGGAGTTTTTCCAGCCTACAGCAATAGTATTGCAGTGCGGTGCAGACTCGCTTGCAAACGATCGTCTCGGATGCTTTAGTTTAAGTACAAAAGGGCACGGAGAATGCGTGAAGTTTGTTAGAGACTTAAACGTTCCTTTGCTTACTGTAGGTGGAGGTGGGTACACTCTGCGCAACGTCGCCCGCTGTTGGACCTATGAAACGTCTTTGTTGGTTGATGAACAAATCAGTAATGAATTACCATACACAGAGTATTTAGAATATTTCGCACCAGATTTTACATTGCATCCCGACGTTGTGACCAGGCGGGACAATGAGAATAGTAAACAATATTTAGAAGCAATTACAAGACACGTGTACGACAATTTGAAAATGATACAACATTCTCCCAGTGTTCAAATGCAAGATGTTCCTTGTGATGCTCTACCACCTGAGGAAGAGAGGCAACCAGAGCCAGATCCAGACTCTAGACAAAACGTACAAGACACTGATAAAATCGTTGAACCAGCCAATGAATATTATTCAGGAGAAAAAGATCAAGACAAAATGGATGTGAGCGAATCTTGAAAAAGGAATGTGTAAATTATATAATTGGACACAGAAGTGATACAGCTATAAGATATTTAGATGCGCGTGCGTAAACATAAGAATGAAAACATGAGAAGTAATTTTTACTGTGACATGGATAATTGTAAATATTATGTGAAGATTGTAAATACTTTTAAGATTATTAAAATTATTTCTTATTCTTACTGGATAGTTTGTAAAGTTCTATCCCTTATGAAATAAGTACCTCTCCCATTAGGGCTCAGGATTTTAAATAGTATTAGGCAAGTTTATTGTTTTATGTCAGACAGCATATTGTCTACAATGGTACAACAATGACAATGAGGATGATATTAATAGTAGTAATAATAATAATAATTATAATAATAATTGTAATAATAATAATAATAATAATAATAAGAGCAATAACGATAACGTTTATTTCATCTCTGTTCTGGGGCTATTTCGCTATATCACAGAGAACTTAATCCTTGTTCGTTCTCGTTCCTTACTTATATCTCGGGTATGAGTAGAAACTTAAACGATGCTCTCTAATAGAATTTGCTGCTCCGGCTTCTCGTAGTCTACTAAACCTGACTAATATAATAAATTAGGTTCGCTTTTAAATTAAGGCGCTTCATTCTGTACATTCGTTTTGTAAAACTTTACAAAAAAGTTTCTCGAAAAATAATACAAGTACAAAAATACTCACGGTACGAGGAACGGAAATATACTCGACACACTCGTTTCTTTTTGTTTCTTTTATCATTTCACAAAGCATGTAAAAAGACCACGGCGTAGAAAAATTCTCTTGCACACACGGTAGCAATAATAATATTGTTGGCTTTGCCAAGGAGGCACTGAAGCATGCATTTTTTTTTCACGCGCAGAAGACACCGGTAAAGCTTAGATTCCCATTTATTTTTTTATTTTCTTTGCCCGCCAGCAGAGCGACGGGCTTTCTACGACATCCCTGCCTCTAATTCTTTGTCCTTGTTATCACTATATAGTATACCACTGTAGTAGTAATCTAAATACTACTACCATACCATATAGCATATATATATTTTATGTAGGTGTATCTATATTTATATATATACGTGTAGATATATATATATATATATATATATAAATGCTCAGTCTCATAGTAAAAGAATGAAAAGCAATTCCATTTGGTGTTTAGACTTCCATCGAGTACCCTTCGCTTCGAATCACTCGCAGTCCTATTACAGCAGTTAATGATGGTAGGCAGTGCTGATCCAGCGATCCTTGGGAAAATCCATAAAAAATAGTCGTTTGCGATAATTTTGCCCTATAGAAATTTCTCTTCTTGTTTCTGGTTGACTAGATGATCTTGTTCTCATTGAATGGAGTGGAGGACCCGCCTCAGCGACACGGAACAACACCGTCGCGCAACGAATTACGTTTCAAAGTGTTTGTAAATACTTGTCACGTACGTCATGACTTGTTGCCAGTCGGGCCGCTCCAATTGACACATTTCGCCGATGTTCTATGAATGAAAGCAGGTTTTTGTTATTGCATACAAGGTCACCCGGTACACAACTGGGCTGAAAACACGATTTTACCAACTAAAAGATTTTTCCCAGCGCAATATAATTATTCAATGTAACTAGTATAAATAATATATGTAACTACAAAATATAATTATTATTTCAAAATACAATTATGTAAGAATTAAAATATTTTACGACAAAAAAGAAGAATTAATAATTAATTCCTAGTGTCTATGGTAAAAAAATATTAACCATAGCCGCTATTCGAACCCTGGATTACACAATTGTCTTAAATAAATAATGTGTTTCTAAGGTCTGTAGTACTGTTAGTTCATAGCAAGAGAAATTTGTTCAATTGACTTTTATCCAGCAAAATCGCGTTCTCAGTCTACTGTGGTACAATGAGAGCACAGAAATGGGAAACGAACTTACCAAGGTGGTGGGTATACCGACGCTCTCGGCAGCGGAGAAGGCAATAGAAAAATTCCGTCGCTTCTCAACCGGCGTTAAAGTGTCGTAGGGTACTTTGTGAGGGAGGTAAGAGTGGAGAATGGCGCACAACGCCAGGCCATCGTTCCACGAGCTACTGAAATTCGTGATATCGATGTTCCGATAGCCTAACGTTTTATTCTGACACCACTTGAGCAACGCGTTTCGTTTCGAGCCTCCGTTCTTAATCAGCCCGCAAAGAGGATCTTTGCGCTCCGACAAGTCTGTCACGCTGTTGCGACGCACAAAGTCGATCGCCTTGGCATTCAAAGCAGCAGAGTCCAGCAGCTCACCAGGGCTTAACACCACAGGTGTTGACTTTGTCTCTGCGTTGGAATCATTGGAAGAAAACATTCACTGAGTTGTTATCGTAACGCGCGTTCCGATCACGCCGTGTCGATCTTTCGCTTTTTTTTTGTTTTGGTTTTCTAATTTTCAAGCAGTACGGGTGTGTCCGTGTCATAGGAATGCTTAAATAACATTGTTGCATGATCGAAACAATTTCAAAGCCGATAGCGTTATATATCTACATATGTAGATATATATATCCGTCGGTGTTTATGCGACAAACTGTTTTTTATTTTTGTGACTGGGTGCGATAGCTTCAGGCGCAGCGAATGTCTATTTAAAACTAAAGTTACCTGACAACGGCTTTCTCGTTATCACCGCTTGAGTTTTATTGTTATTCGTCGTGTTCGCCGTGCAGATCAAGTTATTGATTTGCTGTTGATCCCTGAGCGGAGCCTTCAACGTCATTATATCATTCGTTCCAATGGAATTGAGGGAGGACGTGGAACTACTGCGACTTCCCGGTCCTAATTAGAAAATTAAATTTGTTGGATTGTGCGCTGGTGATCGTACCAAACTAATTCTACAGGAAACTTCTGTCTACGCATACCTGCTTTAGCCTGTTTAGTGGCATTTTCGATGCTCTCTATTAAACACTTCACCGACAGCCTCGAATCCTGCCTTGAAATGTTTGCCTTACGTCGGGCTGCTATTTCCTGTTGCACACTGGTCAGTACGCACTGTTGAGTGTCAGTTGGAGTGCTCGCTGGCCTCTGAGGCGGTTGTTGTATCACCTTTTGATTCGCTGTAAGTATTGCCAAACGTC